CCCCTGAGGCGATGGCGGTGGGCACGGGCACCGCCCGCCAGTGGCCGACGTGTAGGTCTGAGGGCTGTGCTGGGACCCCCGCTACACCCGAGGGGTAGCCAGGAGAGGTGCCCCGAGAGGGCTGAGGGCAAGGGCACTTGCAGCGCAGCCTGGGGGGCAGCAAGGGCCCGGGTTTAAATGGAGCCCGCAGGAGGTGGGGGGAGGCCCCAGGTGGGGGCAGTAGGGCCTACGGCTGCTTTCAAGGAGCCTACGGCTGCTAACGGGGTTTCTGCTTTGGGGTAGGCTCGTGGCTGAGCTCTGCTGATGGACTCTGCTTGGTAGGTGAGGTGAAATGAACTCAAGTTGCCTTAATTGTAGCAGAGGGATTTTTTGTTAGTGTATTTGAAAGCTGAGGCTGACACCATATCCCAAAGATACTAGTTTAGCTCCAGTGGTTAGAAAAAAGTATTTTCCTTCTCCCTATGTACAAGCATCACCTTGTCTACTCTGTTTTTCCAGAAGCATTACATATTGTGTGGGTGAGCAGAGCTTGTTTTTCAGAAGATTTCTGGTCTAAGTGTACTGTGATCATTGTGGATAGATAGATAGATAGATAGATAGATAGATAGATAGATAGATAGATAGATAGATGGTCTTCATAAGAAATGTCCTGTGCTGCTGTAGCTTACTAGACTTTTCAGATGGGTATAGACCACTTTCACAGTGCTGTAGTGTAAATAAGTTACCTATGTGTTTCTATTCTCCTTTACCAAAATAGTAGGGGAACAAACCTCATGGTGCAAGATGTTTGAAGATGATCTTTCTCTATGCACACAGTAAATAACACTGATGTGTTCAAAGGGCTCTTACATGTCTTTTTAAGAGAAGGGGGCTAGTCTTATTGAGTCTTCTGTGGTGTATGTGAAGCTTCTTGGGTTCTTAGAGTGACTCTAAGAGTTAGTGCTCTAAAAGTTGGCCAGGTTACAAAGTTAGGTATTTGGGGAAGGCAACATCCCACTTTTTTAAACAGATAGGTCTTAAGAAGAAGTTAACAAGCTAATTATTAATCTGCAACTCTTTAAGGACCTAATTATAGTTGGAACTCGCAACAGTATATCAGCACATAATTTAATGCAGTTTATGGCCCTATGTTGGAGAGAAAATAAATTCAGTGTGTGGGATTGCCCTATCTATTGCAACAATATTATTCTAGGCATTTATTAAGTTTCAGACTGGCAGGGGCCAGCATAAATCAGAAGTGTTGAAGTTGCTGTATATTGAGATAACTGAATTGAAAATCTGGTTTATGAGGGAAGGGAGAAATGATCAGACATATTTATTTCAAAAGCTACTATTTTAGGCATTAACCCAATATCCTGTGACATGCTGGGGAAGGCACTCAGGAACAGTGTGCCTGTAGCTGATACTGGTCAGTGTGAGTCACTGCATCAGCTGTGAATTGGTTTCACCTGTGGACAGTTTAGCCAGCAGTGCAATTTGCATTGATACACCTGTGGTTTTTGTTATAGTGAGAAGCATGGTGTTGCAAATTTTTGGAAATGAGGTATCTTTACCGATTATTATTTTTTTTTTTTAAAACAATTGGAAGCACTGGTGCACAATTATTGAATCTGACTGGAACATCTGCTGGACAATTTTGTTTTTATACAGTCAGTAGATGCTCTTAAATGAAAAGATATAGATTATACAATATAAACCTAGTTCTACTGTTGGTGTTGGTCACAGGAGGGATCCTTGCTATTACAGTCCAATTAAAGTCAGCACACTGTAGGATAACATACTGTAAGGGATAGTGGTGATCCTGCCCCCAGTAACTGGACTGGTAATTCCAGGGATTTAGTAAAATGAAAAGAAGGAGTTTTTCCACTTACTCTGCTGCCCTGTTACTATTTTTTAGTTTTCAAGGCTTCTTTCAAGACCACTGTTTTCCTTCATGGATGCAAGATGCCTAAGTGTCTTTTTAAAACCAATAAAAATATCAGCTCAGCTTTGCAAAAATGCTGAACCGCAGCCAAAAAGACAGCTAGCATGATGCAGGATTATTCTTGGAAGCATTATTTATGCTCAGCATGAAAGACTGAAACATGCAGACTTTTACAGACAGTCAGATAGGCTTTGTCTCAGACTTAGACACATAAAAACAAATGAAAATATTTTCTTCGTTACTTGAAATTTAACTGAGAATTCAGATTCCAGACAACATAGTTATTCTTTTGATATATAGTAGTGAATGCAGTATTAGGAACAGGGTGATGCTGCTTGAGAAGCTGAAAATCCTCATAATGTAGGAATGGAATCTTGAAAATATTTATCTGTGTGAATAAGTTTAAATATTTGCTGGTAAAAGTAGCAAGTGAAGAGTTTAAATTTCAGGTGCTTGCATTTGTAGTCTGGTGTTTGAACTCATTTCTGCAGGAAACTGAGGGGAAAAAAATCAACGGAAAGATGGAAAATACTTAAAACTTCTCTTTTTTTTTTTTTTTTCTTCCTTACCTCCCCCCCTTCCCCCCCCAAGCTACGACAGAAGATGTAATTCTCCACGTGGAAACTAGGAAGAGGATTTTGCTTGTAAGTACATGAGAATTTAATTCCTTCCTTGCTGCTTGAACCTGGAGACCCATGAAGAGGTAGGGAGGGAGTGAAGCACACTGAGGGACTTGAGCTACACTGAAGTGCTGTAAACAGTCTTGATTTGCTGCCAGTCATTATGAAATAGCATAAATCAATTCAGGAAGAACTTTGCTTTTTACAGCCAGTAATCTTGATTACAAGTAACTGTAAAGGTCTACCAGCTATTACGATAGCTCCCTTGCCCATGCTGTAGGATATCTCCAGAAGTTTTCAGTTTTGTTGGCCTATAAAGTGGAATGAGCACATGCATGACCAATAGTGATGCTGTTGATGACCTTGCAGTTGGTTCTTTAATTTTTTTCCTCTATACTTTTATTTCTAGCCAAATAGTCTCCAAGGAAATTTAGTAGAAGCAGATAACGTGGTGTGGTAACTGAAAGCTTAGAGTCCATTCTTAGCACAAAGCCCTTGCTAATATCTAAAATAAGTGACTGATTATTTGGTATTGCATGATTATTTTGAGAGAATACTGAGAGAAAGAAAATACAAATTGTGTTCAGGTGTACAAAAGTTTGAATTTTTAATGCAGATATGTCACTATAAATCATGCTGCTGGTCAGGGTCAGTCACATATCAACCAATGAACAGGAGCTACAGTTTGGATTTATTGCCCACTTGCTCTGTGGAGCAATCACGTTGGGAATATTTTCAATTAATTCTTGGCCACTCAGACTGAGGAGCTGGCTCAGAGTTTCGTAGAAGCAGCAAAAGGATTGAACTTTACTATTCCCAGAAGGCTTCAGGAGCAAAAGTGTTATTTTGTGGCAGTAGCAGAGTTAAGTTATGGCAGGGAGTGTACCAAGCTGAAAGTAGTCGAAGTGAGGTTTGGGATATCTGTGGATGGAAAAAATAGTCAGTTGGGTTTTAGGTCTGTACCTGTCCATCTCCTCTCCTCTTCTAATAGTTCTGATCTGAGCAATCAGTTGTCAGCCCCTCTTTCTATGTGTGAAATGTAATAAAATACACAATTTCCAATAGTCAATTACAAACCTCTTCCCTTTCCCTGATTGATTCAAATTTGGTTTTATTAAGAGACCTCCTTTAGAAAGGTGAAAATTAAGGAAAACAGAGTAAAGTTAGTCAAGCTGCAAAGTTATAAATAAAACTGTAGGGAAGATCCTGCCTTTCTCCACCTGAGAAAGGTCTTGTAGCAAGCGTGTGATGTAGAGTGGCTGAGATCAAGATCTTTCCCAATCTGGCTGTTGATAAAGTTTTATTTGTTCTTGCTTTATTACCTCCATGAGTCCAAGTACCACAAACCGATAAAGTATTTAAGAAAAACTGTGTCATGTAGGCACGTATGAACAATTTTGAAGTTACTGTGTAGATAAATGTTCGAATGAAAATCCGCTCAAAATACTGTTTTGTGTAAAGATTTTTTTTCCCCCACAACTTTAAGAGCAGTTTCCCAGGTTTTTGCCCATTGTGTGAGGAATTTCTACCTCAAATCCTCTAGATGGTGCTACAGCTACAGCACATGGAAGTGAACTCACCGTTAGGTTTTGTGTCTTGTTAAAATGCCACTTCACTTAAGTCACTTATCGTACGAAAGGATTAATGACTCCAGCTATGATACCATTTCCAGGTTTATGCAAGGGAGAATCAGCATAGGTGGATTACCCGTCCTCAGCTAAGTAAGAGCAGATCGTATTTTATAGATACAGAAGTCTTGCAGGAACTGTTGTGTGGTCAAATTATCCCCTCATCTCTTGAAACCATACCTTGAGTGCTGACAAGGGCAGAGGTGGCCAACTGTAGCCTGTGGTGGTGATTAAGTGACAGCAATAAGCCTCTTAAAACTCCCAGCAGATGTTGCTGCTTTTGTATGCTAATGAGAACTTCACAAACCATTTTCTCTTCCTTCTGAGAGCAGATGTAAGTACATGAAAATTGGTTTCTTATATCAAGAGCAAATTGATAATAACCTTGGTTCAGTTGTGAGGCAGAAGCTGTAGAGGCACTTTATTTGGTAATTGCAGAAAGCTTATGCAGAACTTCATCAAAATTAATTTTTTACGTTCTGCTAACTTTTCTTGTACTGAAGTAGTTAAGCAAAATCTGAAATATGCTTTGTAAGAATAAGAAAGAATTTGACCATCTTTATAAGACATCTGTCTGTAAAAGGTGTTTTCAAACAATAATAAAGGAGCAGCCTGAGCCAGGGAACTGCGTTTTAAAACTTCATTTCACTTGGATAATTGCATCCTTTCTGATGTAAATTGACACCGTGCATTTTAGATTCTTTGCAAGGCTAGACAAAATTTGGTCAGCGTTTTCCAAATAAATAATTTAAGGTACTTTTTGTACTTCTGTATCATGAGATGAAATACTGGTGTCCTCTTCACTTGACACTACTAAAGCATCTGTAATATTCTTCACAGAGTAGAGAGTTTATTTACTGGCTAGATTTCATTTTGGGTAGCAGCAGACTGTCCAAAGGTCAGCTATAGTTTCTATCAAACGTTGCAATAGTGATCTGAGGTGACTAGTGACAGCAGCTGAAGTTCAGTATTTTTACTTCCTGTCTTAGATGTCTGTTTAATGTTACTTGCCCTCTTTAAAGTACAGCTGTCCTTCACTCCAGAAGATAAGTGAATGACCATCGCATCTGTAAAGTTTACATGTGTATTTTTCATCTTGCTGAGACATTTCGGTTTGCAAGAACTGAAGGCAAAACCACAAGCTTCTGTGACCTGTTCTGTGTACCAAGTTTGCATATGCACATTCAAAAGTTCAACAAAGATAACAAGAAACTAGATGGTTCCCTGCTAACCACAAGTTAAAGTTAAAATGCCTGTTTTAATATCTTGTGTGTCTGCAGTGCAGTGGCTGACCTTGGGACTCAGGCTGTTGGTGCTAATAAAAGCTGGGCTTGGGGGTCTAAAACAAGAACAGCTTTTTCCCTACTCTGTGGTGGTCAAATGTGCGATACAGTGTTAGACTGTCCTGGCTGTAGCTGCCATCATGGGAGAAAGAATGGATACAGCTGGGCTCCATTGGTGTCTTTATATATAATCATCAAAAGCCAATGGATAGGAAACTAGTACAGAATGGGGATGAAACATATTATTGACATTTTTTGGACAAGAGCTATATTTCTTATTACTTTAGTGTTCTGGGTGATCTTTGACAGTCCTAATTAAGCTACTGTCCAAAAATGTAACCTGTAGTTTGATGATGCAATATTCTCATTTATTTTTTCTTCACCTCGGTTTGGTCCAGAAGTAGCAGTTCCAAAATATCATAATGAGTCAGTGTTTGTAAACCAAAGAAATCTGAAAACACCACAGCAAGTGTACACACATAATTAGATACCAGGAGATTTCTCCATCACTAACGATACCAGCTCATTTACTAGGGTAAGACTGCTTTTAGGAGTTCCTTCTAAAGGCTTTTTTAAATAAAAAGAAAGTTTGCACAGTTAATTGTGAGAATTACAGGGACTGTTGCTCATAGAACAATGATGAGGAAGCCAGTTTAACAGAAGTGAGTGTGAGGTAGATTAATGAAATATGAGGCAGATTAAATTTAAATTTGCATTTGCAGTTATTCTGGAAAAAGGAGAATTCCTGGTTTTAAAGAAAAGTAAATGCAATCATAGAATTTATTTTAGCTCACTAATCTGTTTGAAAAACATCTATGTTTATACTTGACACTGACTCTTTCCTGCCCCTCGTGTGGGAGGAGAATGCTGTAAGCAATAACTCCTAGACTGGATTACCTGAGAGCCAAGAGAAGGGAGATCTTGGTAGAGACACTTGTTTTGAGAATCACATCCATTACTTGTCTGACAGAAGTTGCTGCAAACTTTCTGCCCACTGTGAAAACTCTGGGATTTTCCTGTAGTTATTATAATAGAATTAATGCAACTAGAGACTTGTTCTTTTGTCATCGGTGTTAATTTTTTATTCTTTTTAACCCTTCTTTGTAGGCATCTCAAGATTGTGTATCTGGATCCAAAACCAGAAATAAATTCAGTAGTAAACCATAAAGCTCTTAGAGGTGTTATGTGGCCATTGTGAAGCTTTTTGAAAGGGGTAAGGCTTTGCACTAGATTGAGTTGTTTTATAACCCAGGATTGCAGCCACACCAGTTACATTCTTCCTGTGTGTGTCACTGAAACTTAGTGAACCTTTAAATGCTTTAGTCACTTTCTTTATCTCCATGTCAGCTAACCAGCAAAATGCATTATTCAGTTCAATCTTTCTACAGCTAGAACATTTAGAAAAATGCCAACAGAATGATAGTTCTAAAGGTACGCCAAAGTGGCGTCAAAGCAGCATCCTGTGACGAATTTCTGTAGTGCTCTTGGAACTGGCAAGCTCGCAAGTGAGTGTAAATATACAACTTTGACATCATTGGAGTGGAACCAGAAGCCACAGTGAAATACTATACACTGTCTTTCACATGGTGGAAATGTTTCTGTGAGATTGTACATGTAAATTAAAAAATAGCCATTGGCACATGGTTTCCAAGTAACCAACATATAAACACAGGTATGTGCTCTCTAAACAGAACTTGCATTACATCAATCATGATTTGTGGGATTCTGTGTTCTCTTTCAAGTGGACACTTTGGTGCATCATCAATAGCAGTGATCCATGATGTGAGGGCAGGAGCTACTGCTAGGTGCCAAATGTTGAAAGTGCTTTTCAGTCTAATCCAACTCCTTTCCCCCTCCTTTATGTATCTTATTAATGTTTTCTTAAAATAAAATACCCTGTTTCTTGAATGTAAGTTTTCACAGCAGCTGAGTAGGGGGATTTATTTTGTTTCTTTTGGGAAGATCTCATCTCTTTTGGAAATTGGCCTTTCCTGGAGGTGCTGATTATCAGAGTGCCTGAAGAGATCACAGGCAGGGATAGTATATCCCAATAGCCCCTTGAGCTCCTGGGAAGAAGTGGAATGGGATACTGAAGCACCAGAAGGTGATGATG